GGATGGATGGATGGATGGATGGATGGATGGATGGATGGATGGATGGATGGATGGATGGATGGATGGATGGATGGATGGATGGATGGATGAATACTAAATAATATTTATAGAGAAGTATATACATAGATGACCCGTGCAAAAAACCAAAGTGAATAAAGTAAAATTATAAAAACAACTAAAGTCGAATCTAGGAAGAGAATTGTTTTTGCCTCTTCATTGTTTAATTTTTTGTTATTCTTTTTGCTTTGATTTAAGTACATAATGATTGTCTGCTAACCTTGCAATCATTTGTGCCCACCCACATAGACATTTTTTCTTAATTTATATTATTCCACTATTATTTCTGATGGTCCAAATATGTTTACATGTGTTTACTATGTGACTGAAGTCCTTGATCTAAAGCAAGTAACATGCAGTTGAATGTAGTTTGGGAAATGTCACAACTATCCCCATATTCAGAGGCAGTTGCAACATTCATGTTACCTTGTAAGCAAGATGAATTGTTGATTTGTGAATTAACAAACTCTTGAAAATACAACTCGCCAAGAGCCAGCAGGGATCTTTGTCTCAATACAGAAATGTTTTGGACCAATGAAATGCAGTGTCGTGTATGACATCAACACGTCGGCCAGAAGGGGAAGGCTGAAGCAAAACAAACATGACTGTGCCGGTTTTAGCTGGAATACCCTCTATTTCATTTTGAAAAACACAAAATCACACCTTTTGTCAAAGTTAGACATGCAATTGTCAGGATTTTGGAAGCCGAGTGCCAATCACTGATCACAAAAATCAGTATCTGCCCATCCCCAACTACCCTTATCTCATGTACATTGACATTGTATTATTAGGCATGCAAATTATAGGAGATGAGAAAGTATTATGAATTGACCACTATTTTAGTATAGGAGACGATGAAATCTATCTTTTTTTAATCAAAATGAAAGATGGAGAAAATGTTGATAAAGGATAACACAGTAATTATCTTAAGAGGTTTGTAGGTGGCATTAAAAAGCTGTTTTAATTTAGCCCAAAAAGGCCACACTCTGTCTGTAGGGTCCTCTGACCCAGCTGTCATTCTTCCACCTCCATCAGTTAGCCTCTAGAGTGGAGGTCACGGATTAGCGAACCGCGGTGCGAATCCAGACCCATATGCTGGCTAATCCGGACCAACCTGATTTAAAATATTTATAAATTACCACATGTTGTCCGACGACTGTTTCTAAACATCACTTGCGCCACTTCTCCTGTTACCCCGAAATCCCACATCCTCTGTCTCCGCCCTGCAGCGCTCCAGACCTCCTGTGCAAAGCAAAGCCTACAGACTCCGCTGTTCCTCCCGTATTGCTGCGCCTCGACTTATCCTCGGAGCTCGAGGAGAGCATGCGCGATATTATCATTAAATTAGAAAAACATGAAGAATGAAAGCTTAATTTATTATGACATATTAAAAAAAAAAACATCAGCATATGTGCGGTTTCTGATGGAGATTAGAAATCTGCTTCCTGGTCTGTTGAAGTACCAACAGTTTGCATCCAATTTTTTAAATAAAAGGTGTTAGTTTTTTTAAATTTATAAGAATTATGCTGTAATTATGCTGTAGTTACGGATCTTGACCTGGCTGGACCACAGCAGAGCCTGAACATTTCGAGTATGTTTGGCTCAACCTGCTGCTGTGAAGCAGGATTCTCGACCATGAACAGAATCAAAAATAAATATGGATCCAGGCTCAAAATGAGCACCTTGATATGTGCTTGAGAATGACTTTGTCTCCGTTCAAACCCAGGTTTAAAGCCTTGCAGGGCAGCCTAAAGCCCACTGCTCTCATTA